GTTGCCCAGGCTGGAGTTCAGTATTTTTAGAAGAGTCGGGGTTTCACCATGTTGGCCAGGCTGGTCTTGAACTCCTGACCTTGTAATCTGCCTACCTCAGCCTCCCAAAATACTGAGATTACAGGCACAAGCCACCTCTCCTGGCCTCAATATTGAGTTTAGATTAATGCAACAACATGCTCCTCCCTTACTACTGTTGCTCCCAAGGTGATTTTTTTTTTTTTTTTTTTTTGAGATGGAGTCTCATTCTGTTGCCAGGCTGGAGTGTAGTGATGTGATCTCGGCTCACTGCAACCTCCACTTCCCAGATTCAAGCCATTCTCCTGCCTCAGCCTCCTGAGTAGCTGGGATTACAGGTGCCTCCCACCACGCCCAGCTAATTTTTGTATTTTTAGTAGAGACGAAGTTTCACCATGTTGGCCAGGCTGGTCTCAAACTTCTGACCTCAAGTGATCCATCCTCCTTGGCTTCCCAAAGTGCTGGGATTACAGCCGTGAGCCACCACCCCTAGCCCAAGGCCATGTTTTTTTTTTTTTTTTTATATTGTTTTGTTGTTGTTGTTTTGTTTTGTTTTTGAGACAGTCTTGCTCTGTCACCTAGGCTGGAGTGCAATGGCGGTGATCTTGGCTCACTGCACCCTCTGCCTCCCAGGTTCAAGTGATTGTCCCTGCCTCAGCCTCTTGAACAGCTGCGATTATAGGCACCTGCCACTATACCTGGCTAATTTTTTTTGTGTTTTTAGTAGATGTGGAGTTTCGCCATGTTGGCCAGGCTGGTCTTGAACTCCTGACCTCAGGTGATCCACCCACTTCAGCCTCCCAAAGCTCAGGGATTACAGGTGTGAGTCACGTTTTTTTATACGCATGTTTTTATACAAATCCTACCTCAGGGAAGCACCCTAGAGGAAGGGGCTGAGGTCAAGAAACTCCTCGGTTGTGGTGTTTTGTATAGCCTCCTGATTCACATTGGCCTAGCATGAGGCCCAGCCTCCTCCAGTGATGGACGGAAGAAAAAGTGGCAAGTCTGTAAATGCTAGGGATGGCAGATCAGTCACTTCCGGTATGTTAGTCATCTTCTCAGTGCAGGTCCAAGGTGACAACAAGGGCAGAGTTCACAAATCTGAGCTTGGCTCGCCTGCCTGGAGAACTCCTTGTCAGTGGTGCCATCTGCAGGGCATTAAGGAATTTGCCAGAAGTTTGATGGGATTGGGAGGAGAAAATGGCATTTCCAGACAAAATGCTCTTCCCTCTTCCCTAGCTCAAGCCTCTTAGTCTAAGCACATCCCTAAATCCCAGCCTGGGTCCTTGGTAGAGCTGAAAGACCCATGTCCTTCTCATCTTGTGGCAGGCAGTATTTAAGTCTTCTAGTCCTACAAGGCTGTGGTATTGCTCCCCTCCTTTTCTACCAATTAAATCTGTCATCTTAAAATGAGGCACTGGGTTCTTCCCATTTTAACAGTGAACTCAAGGAGGGGATGAACACTAGGTTGTGAAGGCATTTAAGCATTCTGGTGTTAAAAAAAAAAAGAAGATATTTATGTAGTTAAGATTAGTTATCATGATTATTATCATCATCCTTTTCATCTCTAAGTAAACCCTCCTTGGGCTTTTAAAAATTCATATTTATTGGCCGGGTTTGGTGGCTCATGCCTGTAATCCCAGCACTCTGGAAGGCCGAGGCAGGCAGATCACCTGAGGTCAGGAGTTCAAGACCAGCCTGGCCAACGTGATGAAACCCTATCTCTACTAAAAATACAAACAAACAAACAAAAAAAGAATTAGCTGGGCATGGTGCTGGGTGCCTGTAACCCCAGCTACTCTGGAGGCTGAGGCAGGAGAATCACTTGAACCCAGGAGTTGGAAGTTGTAGTGAGCTGAGATTGTGTCACTGCACTCCAGCCTGGGCGAGAGTGAGATTCTGTCTCCGAAAAAATAAATAAAGAAATAAAATTGGCCAGGCGCGGTGGCTCATGCCTGTAATCCCAGCACTCTGGAAGGCCAAGGCAGACGGATCACCTGAGATCGGGAGTTCGAGACCAGCCTGACCAATATGGAGAAACACCGCCTCTACTAAAAATACAAAATTAGCTGGGCATGGTGGTGCCTGCCTGTAATCCCAGCTACTCGGGAGGCTGAGGCAGAAGAATCATTTGAACCTGTCCAGCCTGGGCAGCAAGAGCCAAACTCCACCTAAAAAAATAAAAAACAAAAAAAACATGTTGATTTATTTTCTGAATAAATGGCTTATTCTTCCGTAGTGGCTCTGGAGTATGGTTAAGCCGATATTTCAAGACCTGGGATGCACTGCCTCTCATCTCTCAAGCTTGGATGCACATCTCCAAGTTTACAGATCATTCCAGACTCCAAAGCCCTAATTGCTACCCACTCTGAGACAGGCAGAATGGAAATCTATAGTATAAAAGGAAAAATAGTCCCACAAAGTCAAGAGGTCCTGATTAGTGACAGAACTAAGGGGCTAACCAAGTATCTCTGTTCCCTAGGCCTCTCCCCTGAGACCTGATAAAGAAAGTGAATATTACAAAACCTTAGGGCTTAAAGTTTACATTGAGTAGAACAATAAAGAATCTGGCTTAAGAGAGAAGTTACCATTGTTTATTTCTGGTTCCCTAGAAACGTTGGATGGGCATTACCAGGCGCTGTGCTTGCTGCTGGGCAAATGTATAGATAAGACGGCTCCAGTGCCTCCTTAAAGGAAGGCTTGATGACATGTCCTGTCTGCCTGAGCATTTCATTCTAGCCACCCGCTTCATCATGGCCCACATACATTATTTCATTCAAAGCCTTAACTTATAATTATTAGTATTCATCTTGGCCTGGTGTGGTGGTTCACACTTGTAATCCCAGCAGTTTGGGAGGCAAAGGAGGGAGGATTTTTATATTTTTAGTAGAGATGTGGTTTCACCTAATTGGCCTGACTGGTCTTGAACTCCTGACCTCAGGAATCTGCCCACCTCGGGCTCTCAAAGTGATAGGATTACAGGCATGAGGTGCTGTGCCCGGCCCTCTCAGTTCTTTAAAGGTGTATGCTTTCCCTTGGAGCCTGTGATGGCTACATATGTGTTGCTATGCTAGCCCTACAGGCCCCCGACCAAAGCTCTTTCTCTAAAATGCTCATGCCAAATCAGATTCTCTTAGGCGCTGAGAGCTACAGTCATCCCTTAGTATCCCTGGGGGATACTAAAATCCATGAATGCTCAAATTCCTTATATAGAGAGCTCTAATGTTTGCATGTAACCTACACACATCTTCCTGTATACTTAAGTCATTTCTAGATTACTTATACCTAATACAATGTGAATGCTATGTAAATAATTGTTATACTGTATTGTTTAGAGAATAAAGGGGAAAAGTACATGTGCAGTTCAGACACAATTATCCATTTTTCCAAATATATATTTTAGATAGGGTCTCTCTCTGGCACCCAGGCAGGAATGAGGAATGCAGTAGCATGATCACACTGGCTAATTATTTTGTTTTGTAGTGACAGGGTTTACCTAGGTTGCCTAGGCTAGTCTCAAACTCCTGGGCTCAAGTGAACCTCCTGCTTTGGCCGAAGTGCTGATGTTACAGGCGTGAACCACCATGGCCAGTTGCTTCAAAATATTTTCAATCCAGTTAGTCAAATCTAGATATGGAACCCACAGATAGGGAAGGCCGACTACATTTTGTGAATTTATAGGATTTATGAGCAAAACAAACAACTGGGAAAATTGTAGTCTTCCTTTTTTTTTGAGACGGAGTTTCTCTCGTTACCCAGGCTGGAGTGCAATGGCGCGATCTCGGCTCACCGCAACCTCCGCCTCCTGGGTTCAGGCAATTCTCCTGCCTCAGCCTCCTGAGTAGCCAGGATTACAGGCACACGCCACCATGCCCAGCTAATTTTTTTTATATTTTTAGTAGAGACAGGGTTTCACCATGTTGAACAGGATGGTCTTGATCTCTTGACCTCGTGATCCACCCGCCTTGGCCTCCCAAAGTGCTGAGATTACAGGCGTGAGCCACCACGCCTGGCTTTTTTTTTTTTAAATCATATTCTTTCAGTCTTAAACCAAGAAGATATCAAGGTCTTCAGCAGCCATAATTGTTCTTGTGCTTTCTGGATTTGAAATCTACATTTTCTCATAGGTTAAATCCTCTATTTACATTCTCTGTGCCTACAAGTCCATTACGTGTATCCACAATACTTGAATATAAACCATGCCAAATGCTATAAACTTGTATCCTTTTACAAATGTTGCCACTTTATCTTCATGTACTGCAGACTTCTGCCACCAATGCATACAGCTTCTTGTCTGCTCGTTGACCACCGTGAATTCTGGTCCTACAACTTTTTCCTATCACAATAGGGCTGCAAATACTCCTACAGCCGTTTTCCCAGGACATTTGTCAACAAGGCTAGAGTGCAGTGTTGCAGTCACAGCTCACTGCAGCCTCAACCTCCTCAGCGTCTCAAATAGCTGGGATTATAGGTGCTTACCACCATGCCCAAATTTTTGTACATTTTTGTAGACAGGGTTTCATCATGTTGCCCAGGCTGGTCTGGAACGCCTGGGCTCAACTACCTGCCTTGTCCTTGTGCTAGGATTACAGGCGTTAGCCATCATGTCCTGCCAAGGATCACTCTTAAATTTCCTAATTACATTAACAAGGTTAGCCAGCCACTTTAAACAGCAATTTACATGATACTCAAAAATTACTTATACTTCCTATGCAAAACCCATTAGCAACTACCCATACTTTGAAAAGCTAAATGAGCTCTATAACTTTCATGTGTTTCCCCACCCCCTAAGCAAGGTTTGAGGTGGTAAACAGAATCTAGGGCTCCTGCCTTTCCAGTTCCCTGAGCTCCCTTTTCCCTACAGTGGTGCCTGCACAGAAGTAGGACCCTTGACATTACCAGAATATTGCAGACTCTTTACTCCAAGTGTAGATGAATCCCAAAAACTAAGGCACTTTTAGAAAAAACACAGGAGACAAAGCTTTTGAAGTTAATGACTTTACTTTGAGACATGATGGAAAAACTACAGGTACACATGGAAGACATGGTAACTGAGTGAAAACAATCTAACCAGAAAGCTTTAATGCCTGTCAGCTAAGTTGAAGCTGAAATTCTGGGAGCATGACATGCTGCAGGGCCAAAAGGAATGGATAATTAGTATTCTTCGCCTTCTTCTTCACCCTCTCCTTCAACAGAATCCACACCAACCTCCTCATAATCCTTCTCAAGGGCAGCCATGTCCTCACGGGCCTCTGAAAACTCTCCTTCCTCCATCCCCTCACCCACGTACCAGTGAACAAAGGCACGCTTGGCATACATCAGGTCAAACTTGTGGTCCAGGCGAGCCCAGGCCTCAGCAATGGCTGTGGTGTTGCTCAGCATGCACACAGCTCTCTGTACCTTGGCCAGGTCTCCACCAGGCACCACAGTGGGAGGCTGGTAGTTGATGCCAACCTTGAAGCCAGTGGGGCACCAATCCACAAACTGGATGCTGCGCTTGGTCTTGATGGTGGCGATGGCAGCATTGACATCTTTGGGAACCACGTCACCACGGTACAACAGGCAGCAAGCCATGTATTTACCATGGCGAGGGTCACATTTCACCATCTGGTTGGCTGGCTCAAAGCAAGCATTGGTGATCTCTGCTACAGAAAGCTGTTCATGGTAGGCTTTCTCAGCAGAGATGACAGGGGCATATGTGGCCAGAGGGAAGTGGATGCGGGGATAGGGCACCAGGTTGGTCTGGAATTCTGTCAGGTCAACATTCAGGGCTCCATCAAATCTCAGGGAAGCAGTGATGGAGGACACAATTTGGCTAATAAGGCGGTTAAGATTAGTGTAGGTTGGGCGCTCAATATCGAGGTTTCTACGACAGATGTCATAGATGGCCTCATTGTCTACCATGAAGGCACAATCAGAGTGCTCCAGGGTGGTGTGGGTGGTGAGGATGGAGTTGTAGGGCTCAACTACAGCTGTGGAAACCTGGGGCGCCGGGTAGATGGAGAACTCCAGCTTGGACTTCTTGCCATAATCAACTGAGAGCCGTTCCATGAGCAGGGAGGTGAACCCAGAACCAGTTCCCCCACCAAAGCTGTGGAAAACCAAGAAGCCCTGGAGACCGGTGCACTGGTCAGCCTATTACAAAAGAGAGGAACAGAGGAAAGATTAAGTTTTTGTTCTTCGTAGTACAGTCATAGTAAATATATTTTCATTTTTCACATATCTCCCAGGACTTAAATCTTATTTTAACAAATGCTTTTTAGAAAATTCTCATTAACATTTACAAAATGACACAAAATAGTTCATTTTAACTGAATTTTTAAAACCCCAAAGGAATAACTCATTCCACTCTTTACTAAAATAACAGTTCAATTCTGTGTTTAAAAAAAAGAACAAACAGCATTATGGCCGGGCGGGGTGGCTCATGCCTGTAATCCCAGCACTTTGGGAGGCCGAGGCGGGTAGATCACGAGGTCAAGAGATCAAGACCATCCTGGTCAACATGGTGAAACCCTGTCTCTACTAAAAATACAAAAAATTATCTGGGCACGGTGGCACGTGCCTGTAATCCCAGCTACTCAGGAGGCTGAGGCAGGAGAATTGCCTGAACCCAGGAGGCGGAGGTTGCAGTGAGCCGAGATCGCCCCATTGCACTCTGGCCTGGGTAACAAGAGCGAAACTCAGTCTCAAAAAACAAAAAAAATCCCCAACAAAACAGCATTATTTCAAATGTCCTTTTAAGGCAGATTAATTTACTTTATTCTTGAAACATACCAGTTTACGAATTCGGTCCAACACGAGGTCAATGATCTCCTTGCCGATGGTGTAGTGCCCTCGGGCATAGTTATTGGCAGCATCTTCCTTGCCTGTGATGAGCTGTTCAGGGTGGAAGAGCTGGCGGTAGGTGCCAGTGCGAACTTCATCTGGAGGAGGGACAGGAGGACAGAAGGACTGGGTGAGTGAGCGAGTAACCAGCAGATCCCCCAGGACAGACCTCCTGTCCCAGCACCCTGGGATCTCACTTGGGTTACTGAGGCCAACTCACCAATGACCGTGGGTTCCAGGTCTACAAACACTGCCCGGGGCACGTGCTTGCCAGCACCCGTCTCACTGAAGAAGGTGTTGAAGGAGTCATCTCCTCCCCCAATGGTCTTGTCACTTGGCATCTGGCCATCGGGCTGGATGCCATGTTCCAGGCAGTAGAGCTCCCAGCAGGCATTGCCAATCTGGACACCAGCCTGGCCAACGTGGATGGAGATGCACTCACGCTGTGGGAGGAAAAAAATACATCACAACTTAATCTGTTGGTGACTGTCAAGTGAAACAAAATACTCATGCAATCTTTATTTTTAGTGATAAGTTCTGTTGCTTAGGTTTGAGTGCAGTGGTGCCGGTTCATCGCAGCCTCAACCTCCTGAGCTCAAGTCATCCCCCATGCAATCTTTATTTTTAGTGATAAGTTCTGTTGCTTAGGTTTGAGTGCAGTGGCGCCGTCCAGGTTCATCGCAGCCTCAACCTCCTGAGCTCAAGTCATCCCCCTACTCCAGCCTCCAGGGCAGCTGGGACCACAGGCACAGGCCACCACGGCTGGCTTATTTTTTCTTTTTTGGAGGAGATGAGTCTGGTTATGTTACCCAGGCTATCACATAATCTTAAAAAAATTTTTTTTTCTTTTTTAAAGCGACATAAGATGTATTACTCTTTTGAGAACAGCTACATTATAGGGTCTATATCGCTTTTAACGCATGTTACCTTCCCATTAATAAACGGGGAAGGCCTTCTTCCAGATCACGACAGCTTAGTCACAGCTTCCTCCTTTGGAGGACCAAGACAGGAGGGTGGGCATCCATCCAGCGCTCCGGCCCCAGAATCCCACTTTAGATTGAGTGGCCACATTTCCGGGCAGCTCCTAGCACAGGAAAAGCACGTGGCCAGACCAGCGCAGAAATGTCTGTCCGCAGGGACAAGGGGTGGGGCTATGCGGCACAGGATGAATGAGCAATTCAGGGCGCGCGCTCCCGCGCCCCCCGGGGGCGCTGCAGAGGCACGAAATGGCCACGTCTGCAAAGGCGCTGCCCAGGCTGCCCATCCTCCCTTGCCTGCCGGCATCGAGCTCAGCCTAACACCTCCACGGCAGTCTGAGCGCAGTAGGGGATTATCGGCGGCCCAGATCTGAACCAAGATCCGATTTCCGTTCCCTCAAAATCCCTCACTGGCACCACCTGCTCCCCAGAATTCCCAACGCAGCAGGGAGAGACAGGTGGCCTCTAAAGGCTGTTGTGAACTAAGTGTCCTAATACACTGGTGTAGTGCGGTACACTTCCTCACATTCCTCTTATTGCATTTTTTAATTTTTATTTTTTGAGATGGAGTCTGGCTCTGTCGCCCAGGCTGGATTGCAGTGGCACGACCTCTGCTCACTGCAACTTCCACCTCCCAGGTTCAAGCGATTCGCCTGCCTCAGCCTCCCGAGTAGCTGGGACTACAAGGCGTGCACTACCAAGTCCGGCCAATTTTTGCATTTTTAGTGGAGACAGGGCTTCACCATGTTGGCCAAGCTGATCTCAAACTCCTGACCTCAGGTGATCCACCCCGCCCGGCCCCTCTTACTGCTTCCATTTAAAAAAAAAACCCTCAGGTCAACGAGACACGCCCTGAAGCCGTAGTCGCGCCGCCACCAGCGCGCATGCGCAGACCGCAGTGGTGGTTTCCCGCCCTGCAGCGGCGGGAAGGTAACGGTCGCGCGTGCGCACTTTTGTCTCCAGCGCCTTCCCACCCCCGCTTTTCGCGATCAAGAGGAAGTGAGGGCTAGAAGAGTCGGCGCGCGCGTCCACCCAAGGCGGGGGAAGGGCATGCGCTGTAAAGGACTGCTGGGACTCGAGGTGCCGCGCCCAGGACAGAGTTACGCGCTAAAAGAGAGCTCCGGATAAGGCGGAGGGCTGAGCCCTCCCATCCCTTCCAGAGTCTGAGAAGAAATCCTGGCGCCCCTCAACCTTTCCGGGCCCCCGCCATTTACAAAGACCGAGGTCTCACGACTCCGGATCTGGCATCTCGTCCCGCTTGCCGCCCTTCAAACGGACGGCTCTGGGGCCAGCCTTCCCCCGCTGTATACAGGCTCCCCCACACCCCGCCGACTCGCGTATCCCTGCTGCCCTGAAAGCGGCCGGCAGCCGCGCGGCCCACTCACCATAGTGGCTAGGGATTAGGAGGCGAAGGCGACAGGAGGAGACACCGGGTCCCGGTTACCGTCCCCGACAAGCTAAGAGTCGAGGTAAGTAACGCACTGGGGCGGGGCGAGCGCTGGAGCCTCTTAAGTAGTGGCTGCGGAGGGGCGGGCGGGCACAGGCGGTGCCGCGGCCGGGAGCCCCTCCTCCGGCCCGGCGCGCCCACTCGGCGCCAGGCCTGGCCGCCGCAAAGGCGGGCTCCAGCCCCGAGCCCCCTCCCCTCGCGTGGCCGCGGGGCGGGGTCCGCCGCGCCTGCGGGCCGCGCGCGCCTGTGCTGCAGTGTGCGGCGCATGGCTGCGAGGGCCTGGCGGGGGGGCGGGCGCGAGTCGGAAAGACACCGATCGGGGAATGGGCGAGGAGGCTTGCCTTAATTCGCAGGAAGCCTAGGACTTGGGAGAGCCATACAATTTGAAAGATGAGGCACCGTGAAATGCAGAAACTTGTGGTTCGGATAGCTCAGCTGATTAATTTCATGTTGCCACTGTTTGTGAGTTTTGCCTTTTTATTTTCTCAGTTCGTTCTGTGCTTACCTGATAATGTGAAAAACACGAGCTTTAGAAAACCGAGTAGGTGTACTTGGTTTACTGTAATGACTTGTTCTCGAAAGTTAGGGTACCAAACGCTGGAGGCAAATAATATTTCAGTCATTCGAAGAACAGTGCCCGAGCATTTAACATTGAAGCTGTTAAAAGGGCAGTGTAGGCCCGAATTTTGGATCGAAGCCATCAACTTTATGGAACAGTCCTAGGGGCTTTTTGAAAAGGAGATTTAAAAACACATTTCAGAGGTGATAGCCGAGTTAAGGAAGTGAGAAAAAACTTGGATAGGGAGGAAATAAATGGACACTGAAGGATGTTAGGAAGTAGGGATTCCTTGTGCAACTTAGAGTTTTGTAAATAAGACTGCTTGGCCTTATGTCAAGATACATCAGTTGGTTATAGCTTAGCGCTTGGAGGCCTACGTTATAGTAGACTAGTTCTCCCTCCGCCCCGCCCCTTGAAAATCTATTTCAAGACCATAAACCACATTGCTAATCCTTGGAAATGCAGAAGAAGGTGGTTAGGTTTAAAATGTGGCTTTAAAATGGTCCTAGCAGAAACCTATTGATGTTACTATTCAAAATATCTGCCCAGTATATAGGAAACAAAAAGGTAAAACCTAAAACACTAGAAATTCATAGTTCATCTTCAGTTATTAGCCTATTAAGATTTGGTAAAGCCTTCATCCTTCATTTCAGACAAATAAATTTATGTGGTTAATAAGTGTGTATTTTGTAATGAGTTATGTGTGTGTATGTGTGTGTGTGTGTGTCCACCCATCTGAACTTGACCTGCAAACCAGGAGGTTCTTGTTTATTTCTGGTAAATATTTTTGATAGTCTTATTAAAGGCATTTAATTCAAAAATCCAAATTTGCACACATTTTTCCAGCTGAGTAGAGAAGGCTGGAATGTTTGAATATTGAATATTCAATTCAATATTCAGTTCTCACTTATTTTTTCCTCTTATTCTTTAAAAAAAAAATTAAGCCAGTTAAATTTAGAAGTGGGGGGTTGTATACCAATTTTAGTGACACTAATGTTAATAAGTTCTGATAACCCACTCCCATTGGACAACCCCCATTGTTACTTTTTCTTAAAAGGAGTCTGAAAATAATTAGTTTGCTTTAACTGGAAGAACGAATGTTAGGGAACCACCCTGCTGAACTCCATTTTGCTGTCAGCTCTGGATAAAAGCTATTTTATCCAGAAAAGCTATCTCTGTGCAGAAATTTTGAATAGTTTAGGAACCAAAATAGGTTTCTAGACATTCTGAAGCCACCCTTCTACCCTAACCACCTTACGTATTTCCAAGGATTAGTGATGTAGTTTATGCTCTTGGAATAGATTTTTCTGGGGGAAGGGAGAACCTCCCTTGTAGCTCTCTGCAGATTATCAGAGTCACTACTGCAGGGATTTGCTCCTGTGGGCCTATATGTCTCCCTAGATACCTTTCTAAAATTATTAGCTTTGTTATCTCTGTATTCCCCTGTAGTGAATAAGGAAGTATTTTGTTTTTGTTTTTGTTTTGTCCTTAATAATACGTCAGATTTCACAGAATAATCAAAGTAAAAGAGAACTTTATTTTTTGACCGAAACTCTGTATCCAAAAAAAAAAAAAAAACAAAAAACCATATGTTGTTATTCAGTATTTGAACATCTGAACATTTTGTTGTCTAAGGAGTTTGTCCTTGCCGGCATTATTAAACTGCTTCCTTAGCTGTGAACACTGTATGACTGTGGGTTGTGTCTGGAAAGGAATATGATTTGCTAGTTGTTTTTGGTTTTTTTTAAATTAGCTTCTCATTTTCTTATACTTGCCTCAGTTTCCTCATCTAGTTTTAATATGGAATTGATTTTGAAATTGTGTTACCCAAGCTCTTTTTTTTTTTTTGATAAGGATTCTCACTCTGTCGCCAGGCTGGAGTGCAGTCGTGCGATCTCAGCTCACTGCAACCTCCGCCTCTTGGGTTCAAGCGATTCTCCTGCCTCAGCATCCCGAGTAGCTGGGACTATAGGCATGTACCACCATGCCCAGCTAATTTTTGTATTTTTAGTAGAGACAGGGTTTCACCATGGTTGCCAGGATGGTCTCGAGCTCTTGACTTTGTGATCTGCCCATCTTGGCCTCCCAAAGTGCTGGAATTATGAGCTGTGGTGCCTGGCTTTTTTTTTTCTTTGAGACAGAGTTTCACTCTTGTTGCCAAGGTTGGAGTGCAGTGGAGTGATCTCGGCTCACTGTAACCTCCACCTCCTAGGTTCAAGCGATTCTCCTGCCTCAGCCTCCCAAGTAACAGGGATTACAAGCACCTGCTACCATGCCCAGCAAATTTTGATATTTTTAGCAGAGAGGGGGTTTTACCATGTTGGCCAGGCTAGTCTTGAGCTCAGGTGATCCTCCCACCTCGGCCTCCCAAAGTGCTGGGGTTACAGGCACGAGCCACCGTGCCTGGCCAAGTTACCCTAGCTCTTATGTTCCTGTTTCCCTAACATAATACCTCCTCTACTTATGAGAGAACTCCTAATATTAAGGGGAGATGAAGGTCATTTTTTGTAACTTCTTCCTGCTGAGAGTGGACATTGATCTTTGGGTTAGGATTCTCTCATAAGGATTTGCAGTCAGCTTCACGATGTTCTGATGGTTCTTTTCTTTGTTCTTTTTTTTTCTTTTGGACAAAGTTTTGCTCTGTTGCCAGGCTAGAGTGCAGTGGCATGGTCTCAGCTCACTGCAACCTCCACCTCCCAGGTTCAAGGGATTTTCCTGCCTCACCTTTCTGAGCAGCTGAGAGTACAGGTACACACCGCCATGCCCAGCTGCTTTTTTTTTTTTTTTGACACAGAGTCTTGCTCTGTCACCAGGCTGAAGTACAGTGGCGCAATCTCGGTTCACTGCAACCTCTGCTTCCTGGGTTCAAGTGATTCTTCTGCGTCAGCCTCCCAAGTAGCTGGGACCACAGACACGTGTCACCATGCCCAGCTAATTTTTGGATTTTTAGTAGAGACGGGTTTCACCATGTTGGCCGGGATGGTCTCGATCTCTTGACCTCGTGATCCGCCCACCTCAGCCTCCCAAAGTGCTGGGATTACAGGCGTGAGCCACCGCACCCAGCCTAATTTTTGTATTTTTAGTAGAGACAGGGTTTCACCATGTTGGCTGGGATGGTCTTGATCTCTTGACCTCGTGATCCACCCGCCTTAGCCTCCCAAAGTGCTAGGATTACAGGTGTGAGCCACCACACCTGGTGATGTTCTGATGATTCTGTGGGCATAGCCCTGCCCAGTATTGGAGAAGTAAAAATCTCTGGATGTCTGATCTGTGGTACCTAAAGGCAGGATGTCTGTATTTCTCAGGTTAGAAGATGGTATGGGTTGGAAGCCTTCTGCCAACATAATCTTTATGTGGGATTGTTGTAATCTAGTAGACACAAACTTCACCAAAGTGTTAAACAAGCAAGGGCCAAAGACTAGTAATAACAAGATAGCGATCAAAGGTCCTAGGAAGAGGAAAAACCAGTTGAGACTCAGGAGGGTGCTTTTTTTTCCTTTTTCTGTTTTTCTTTTCCCCCAGGTAGGGTCTTGCTATGTTGCCCAGGCTTGATTGAACTCCTGGCCTCAAGTGATTCTCCTGCCTTGGCCTCCCAAAGTGCTGAGATTACAGGCCTGAGCTACTGAGCCTTGTCTAACCTCTAAATCTCTACTTTTATAGGAGGTTTTTTTTTTTTTTTTTTTTTTTGGAGACAGTGTCTTGCTCTGTGGCCTATGCTAGAGATGGAGAGCAGTGGTGTGATCATGGCTCACTGCAGCCTTGACCTCCTGGCTGAAGCTATCCTCCTACCTCAGCCTCCCAAGTAGCTTGGACTACAGGTGCCCAGCTAATTTTTGTATTTTTATAGAGGACAGCCATGTTTCCCAGGCTGGTCTCGAACTCTCCTTGCAGGCATTATTAAGCTGCTTCCTGTGGGGCACAGTGGCTCACACTTGTAATCCCAGCACTTTCGGAGGCCAAGGCGGATGGATCACCTGAGATCAGGAGTTCAAGACCAGCCTGGCCAACATGGTGAAACTCCATCTCTACTGAAAATACAGAAATTAAACAGGTGTGGTGGCAGGCACTTATACTCCCAGCTATTCAGGAGGCTGAGACAGGAGAATCACTTGAGCCAGGGAGGCAGAGGTTGCAGTGAGCCGAGATTGCACCACTGTATTCCAGCCTGGGTGACAAGAGCAAAACTCTGTCTCAAAAAAAAAAAAAAGCTACCTCCTTAGCTGTAGACATCTTTTGACCATGGATGATGGCTGGCAAGCAATGTACCTTGCTAGTTTTAAGATGGAATTGATTTTAAAATTATGTCATCCTGGCTCCCCTATACTTCTGTTTCTCTCTCTTTTTTTTTTTTTTTCTGAAACAGGGTCTCACTCTGTTGCCCAGGCTGGAGTGAGTGTGGCAGTGGGATCTCAACTCACTATAGCTCTACCTCCCCAACTTAAGGGATCTTCCCATCTCAGCCTCCCAAGTAGCTGGGACAATAGGCATTGCCACCACACCCCGCTAGTTTATTTATTTTTTTTGTAGTGATGGGGTTTCTCCATATTGCCCATGGACTCAAACTCCTGGACTCAAGCAATCCACCTGCCTTGGCCTCTCAAAGTGCTGGGATTATAGGTGTGAGCCACCACACCCAACTGTAACACATTTTAATGCCAGAAATATTGAATAACTTTATTTTGCCTCTTCTTTTCTTTTTTTTTTTTTCTCAGACAGTCTTGCTGTGTTGCCCAAGCTGGAGTACAGTGGCACAATTTCAGTTCACTGAAACCTCTGCCTCCTAAGTTCAAACAGTTCTTGTGCCTCAGCCTCCCAAGTAGCTGGGATGTGCCACAACACCTGGCTAATTTTTATATCTTTAGTAGAAATGGGGTTTTGCCATGTTGCCCAGGCTGGTCTTGAACTCCTGCCTCAAGTGATTTGCCTGCCTTGGTCTCCCAAAGTGCTAAGATTACAGGCGTAAGCCACCATGCCTGGCCTGCCTCCTCTTTAGTACCTGAAAGGAAAGTATGACTTTTAAAAAAAATCTGTGGTTGGCTGGGCATGGTGGCTCATGCCTGTAATCCCAGCACTTTGGGAGGCCGAAGCAGGTGGATCACGAGGTCAGGAGTTCAAGACCAGCCTGGCCAAGATGTTGAAACCCCGTCTCTACTAAAAATACAAAATTAGCTGGGCGCGGTGGCACGTGCCTGTAATTCCAGCTACTCAGGAGGCTGAGGCAAGAGAATTGCTTGAATCCAGGAGGCGGAGGTTGCAGTGAGCCGAGATTGCACCACTGCACTCCACCCTGGGTGATAGAGTGAGACTCTGTCTCAAAAAAAAAAAATCTGTGGTTAACCTACATAGGTCTTTTTTTTTTGAGGCAGAGTCTTGTTCTGTCACCTAGGCTGGAGTGCAGTGGAGCAATCTCAACTCACTGCAACCTCTGCCTCCTGGGTTGAAGTGATTCTCCTGCCTCAGCCTCCTGAGTAACTGGGACGACAGGTGCACTCCACTGCACCCAGTTAATTTTTTATGTTTTTAGTACAGATGGCTGTCACCATATTGGCCAGGTTGGTCTCAAACTATTCACCTCATGATCCACCTGCCTTGGTTTCCCAAAGTCCTGGGATTACAGGTGTGAGCCACCACTCCTGGCCTTTGTTTATCTTTAGAAATGGAGTCTCACTCTGTTGCCCAGGCTGGAGTGCAATTGTGTGATCTTGGCTTACTGCAGCCTCTGCCTCCCAGGTTCAAGTGATTCTCCTACCTTAGCCTCCTGAGCAGCCGGAATTACAGACATGCACCACTAAGCCGGGTTAATTTTTGTAAGTTAGTAGAGACTGGGTTTCACAATGTTGGCTAGGCTGGTCTCGAACTTCTGACCTCAAGTGATCCGCCCACTTTAGCCTCCCAAAGTTCTGGGATTACAGGCATGAGCCACCACGCCAGGCCTGTATTTGTTTTGATATTTGTGTGTGTGTGCGTGTGTATGTGTGTGTGTGTAGGTATGTACACACACGCACACACAATTGAATAGTAGTTATCTATGTCTGGAACATAAACACAGTAGTATTTACTGTCTTGACATTTTTTTTCCTCCCCCAAGACAGGGTCTCACTCTGTTGCCTAGGCTGGACTACAGTGGCATGATCATGGCTCACTGCAGCCTCCATTTCTCAGGCTCAAACGATGCTCTCACCTCAGCCTCTTCAGTAGCTGGAACTACAGGCAAGCACCAATGTGCCTGGTTAATTTTTTGTAGAGGTGGGGTCTCATTATGTTACCCATGCTAATCTTGAACTCCTGGGTTTAGTTGATCCCACCTTGGCCTCCCAAAGTGCTGAGATTGCAGTATAGGCCACTGTGAGTAGTCTGTCTGCACATTTTAATTGATTATATAGGTCTTTCTTTTGTTGTACTCTTTCAGGCCTGTAACTGTTTGCTTTGAGTCTTTGGTGTAGTGGGAAACCCCTCTTATCTTTCCTACATAATATCATCACCATTTGCTACTGTTTTTTTTTTTTGACAGTTTCCATATTGTGGTTTAGACACAGAAGTTCACAAAATATTTTGTTCATTTCACTAACTCTACAAGTAAAAACAAACTACCAAATGGCAACAATTTACCAAGTGTTAACTATTTATAAATATTTGACCTCCATTCTTATTTATCCCAATGTTACAAATTTACATAAGACATTTTGGGTTCTGCTTTACCACAGATAGATGGTATTAGGGAAAGAAAATTAACTTTGGTGGGATGGCTCAGGCCTATAATCCCAGCACTTTGGGAGGCCAAGGCCCGAAGATCACTTGAGGCCAGTAGTTAGAGATCAGCCTGACCAACGTGGCGAAATTCTGTCTACTAAAAATACAAAAATTAGTTGGGCCTGGTGGCACGCATCTGTAATCCCAGCTACTTGGGAAGCCGAGGCACGAGAATCACTTGAGCCCAGGAGGTGGAGGTTGCAGTGAGCAGATATCATGCCACTGTACTCCAGCCTGGGTGACAGAATAAGACTCTGTCTCAAAAAAAAAAAAAAAAAAAAAAAAAAAGGAGGGGGGAATAGAAAATTGACTTTGGTGGTGTCAGATAGGACTAGATTCAATTCTAGTTTTGTCAGTTAATAGTGGTATGACCTTAGACCCTTTATTTTTCCTGAGCCTCATTTATGAATGGCACTCATTATTAACTTGGAATCATCTTTTTCTCATACATTCAGTCCCATTAATTAAATGTTGTCATTTACCTTCAAAATATGCCCACTACATTTTATCACACCACTCTATTATTTCACAGCTCTTACAGAATCTGAAATTACCTTGTTTGCACATTTATTTACTTGTTGAAAGTTTCTTCCTTTAAGTAAACTCCATATCTCTTTTTGTGGAAGTCAATCTTGGTTGCCCTTGGAGAAGCTACCTTCTTCCATTCTTCATTGCTAAAAGAACCTCCTTTACCTGCCACTGTTTAAAGGATATTCGTGTGCTCAGTCCCAGGGGACAAATCAATGCAACCTTTTTTCCCTTTTGCCAGATACTTGCTTTCTCAGTTTCCTTCACGATTGGACCTGATTCTGGCCAATGGGACATAAAGAGGCAAGTCAGCTAAGGAGTTTCTGGTAATGGATTTCCTCTCTGATAAAAAGAGATTACCCCCTTGAGGAAATCCCTTTTGTTTCACCCCCTCCCTTTGCTTTCTGCCTTTGGAAATGTCCTTTGAAGATATGATGCCTAGAGCCAATTTAAAACCTTGAGGGTCTAATACAAAGAGAATCATAAAGATACCAGTTCAGTGCAGTGGTCTGATATTGTGAAACTATAGGCCCAACCTTAAACCAACCTATCTCCACATTTATTAATTAAATAATAAATTAAGGAAACTAAATATTAACCAATAAAGGAAACAGTAAATGTCCTTATAATGTAAGCTAATGCAAGCAGGCTTTATCTCTAGTGCCAAGAACAATACCTGGCACATAGTAGGTGCTTAATATATAATTTTTGTTGAATTTTTGAACTTTGTGATTGATTGGATGTGGGGTGTGAGGTAAAGTGAGGAATGGAGGTTATTTTGTAGGTTTCTCTTTTTTAATTAATTATTTATTTATTTTTGAGACAGAGTCTCACTCTGTCACCCAGGCTGGAGTGCAATGGAGCAATCTCTGCTCACTGCAACCTGTGCTGCCCGGTTTCAAGCGATTCTCCTGCCTTAGCTTCCCGAGTAACTGGGATTACAGGCCCCTGCCATTGTGCCCAGCTAATTCCTGTATTTTCAGTAGAGACAGGGTTTCACCATGTTGGCCAGGCTGCTCTTGAACTCCCGAACTTGTGATCCATCTGCCTCCCAAAGTGCTGGGATTATAGGTGTTAGCCACAGCGCCTGGGTGAAAGTGGTGCCTTTTTTTTTTTTTTTTTTTTTTGAGACAGAGTCTTGCTGTTTCACTGTTTCATCAGGCTGGAGTGCGGTGGCATTATCTCAGGTCACTGCAACCTCTGCCTCCCGGGTTCAAGCGATTCTCCTGCTTCAGCCTCCCAAGTAGCTGGGAATACAGGCAGGCACCAGCAGCCCAGCTAATTTTTCTATTTTTAGTAGAGACGGGGTTTCCTGGGTTGGCCAGGATGATCTCGATTACTTGACCTCGTGATCCGCCCACCTTGGCCTCCCAAAGTGCTGGTATTACAGGCATGAGCTGAAAGTGGTGCTCTTTATAGAGAACCCTGAAGTAGATAGAGAACCTGGCCTTAGTGAGGAATTGAAAGAATGGGCCAGGCACGGTTGCATATATGCTTTGGAAGGCCGAGGTGGGCGGATCACCTGAGGTCGGGAGTTTGAGATCAGCCTGACCAACACGGAGAAACCCCATCTCTACGAAAAATACAAAATTAGGACGTGTTAGCACATGCCTGTAATCTCAGCTACCCAGGAGGCTGAGGCAGGAGAATCGCTGGAACCTGGGAGGCAGAGGTTTCAGTGAGCCCAGTTGGTACCATTGCACTCCAGTGTGGGCAACAAGAGCGGAAGAAAGGAAGGAGGGAGGGAGGGAGGAAAGGAGGGATGGAAGGAACGATCATATTTAAAGTAGAGAAAATGAGCTTATAAAAGGAGTCTGGGAGAAATGAAGAAAGGAAGAGAGAGAGAGAGATCATATTTAAAGTAGAGAAAATAAGCTTATGAAAGGAGTCTAGGCCAGGCACAGTGACTCATGCCTGTAGTCCTAGCACTTTGGGAGGATGAGATGGGCAAGTCACCTGAGGTCAGGAGTTCAAGACCGGCCTGGCCAAGATGGTGAAACCCTGTGTCTACTAAAATACAAAAATTAGCCAGGCATGGCCAGGCACAGTGTCTCAGGCCTATAGTCCTAGCACTTTGGGAGGCCAAGGTGGGTGGATCAACTGAGGTAAGGAGTTTGAGACTAGCCTGACCAACATGGTAAAACCCCATCTCTACTAAAAATAAAAAATTAGCTGGGTGTGGTGGCAGGTGCCTGTAGTCCCAGCTACTCTGGAGGCTGAGGCAGAAGAATCGCTTGAACCCGGGAGGTGGAGGTTGCAGTGAACTGAGACTGTGCCACTGCGCAGTGAGACTCAGTCTCTTAAAAAAAAAAAAAAATTAGCTAGGCATGATGGCAGGTGCCTGTAATCCCAGTTACTTGGGCTGAGACAGGAGAATCACTTGAACCTGGGAGAAGGTAGTTGCAGAGTCAAGATCACACCGCTGCACTCCAGCCTGGGCAGCTGAGTGAGACTCCATCTCACAAATAAATAAATAAATACATATAAAAATAAAAGGAGTCTGATAAAGAATGATCAAAGAGGAAGAACTGGGAGTTTTACAATCCAAGTAAAGAGTTTTCAGAGAGTACAGTGTCCGATGCTGCAGAGAGGTTAAATAGGGTAAATATTAGAAAGGGTCCATTGTATTAAATATGTAGAAAACAATATGGTGTCTATTTTTATTTTCTTATTGGACAATATTGAGAGGGTAGCATGCCAGGTACTCTTTATAAGTGTTGGATAGATGTAACAGTGAATAAAATAAGTCTCACTGGAGTGATGAGAAGGGACATGCTTGCCTCTTCCTAATCTTAGTGGGAAAGCTTCTAATTTCTCACTTTTAAGTATAATGTTAGTTGTAGGGATTTTGTAGATATTTTTGATCAAATCGAGAAAGTTCCCCTCTATCCTAGTTTACCAAGAGAGTTTATTATGAATGAGTGTTGGATTTTGTCAGATGCTTCTTCTGCATCTGTTGATATGATTATGTGATTTTTTTCTTTCAAGGAGTCTTGCTTTATCGCCCAGACTGGAGTGCAGTGGCACTATCTTGGCTCACTGCAACCTCCACCGCCTGGGTTCAAGTGATTCTCGTGCCTCCGCCACTGGAGTAGCTGGGATTACAGGTGCACGTCACAGAACCTGGTTATTTCTGTATTAGTAGAAACAGGGTTTTGCCATGTTGGCCAGGTTGGTCTTGACCTCTAACCTTAAGCCATCCACCTGCCTTGGCCTCCCAAAGTCCTGGGATTACAGGCGTGAGGCACCTTGCCCAGCCTTTTTCTTCTTTAGACTGCTGATCTGATGGATTATATTAATTGATTATTTTATTTTTTATTGAGATGGATCTCACCCTGTCACCTAGGCTGGAGTGCAGTGGCATGAACATAGCTCACTCCAGTATTGATCTCCTCGGCTCCAGCAATCCTCTCACCTCAGCCTCCTGAGTAGCTAGGACTGTAAGTATATGCCACCATACCCTGCTAATTTCTAAAATTTTTGTAGACATGGGGTCTTGCCATGTTGCCCAGGCTTGTCTTGAGCTCCTGAGCTGAAGTGATTGTGCCACTTCCGCCTCCCAGAGCGCTTGGGCTACAGGTGTGTGCCACTGCTCCTGGCCTTAGTCATTTTCAAATATTGAAGCAGCCTTATATACCTGGAATAAATTCCAGTTGGTCTTGGTATATAATTCTTTTTATACAATATTAGATTTCATTTTCTGATATTCAATTGAGGATTTTTGCATCTATATCTATGCAAATATTGGTCTGTAGGTTTTTTTTTTTGGTAATATCTCTCTGGTTTTGGTATTAGGGTGATATTGATCTCATAGAATGAGTTAGAGAATAATCCTTCTGCTTCTGTCTTCCTAAAGAGATGGTATAGAATTGGTATAATTTTTCCCCTAAAAGTTTGGTAGAATTCAAATTAGCTAGGCAGGGTGGCATACACCTGTACTCCCAGCTACTTGGGAGGTTGAAGCAGGAGAATCACCTAAACCCAGGAGGTAGAGGTTGCAGTGAGCCAAGATCACACTACTGCACTTCAGGCTCGGCAGCAGAGAGAGACTCTATCTCCAAATAAATAAATAAATAAATAGATAGATAAATAAGTAAACGTTTGGTAGAATTCATCAGTTAACTGATCTGGGTCTGGTGCTTTCTGTTTGGCAAGGTTGTTAATTATTGATTCAATTTTTTTTTTTTTGAGACAGAGTCTCACTCTGTCACCCAGGCTGGAGTGCAATGGCGTGATCTTGGCTCACTGCAACCCTTGCCTCCCAGGTTCAAGCAATTCTACTGCCTCAGTCTCCCAAGTAGCTGGGACCATGCCTGGGCAATTTTTTATTTTTAGTAGAGACGGGGTTTCACCATCTTAGCCAGAATGGTCTCCATCTCCTAACCTCATGATCTGCCTGCCTTGGCCTCCCAAAATGCTGAGATTAAGGCATGAGCCACTGTGCCTGGCTGATTCAGTCCTTTAATAGATACAGAGCAGTTCAAATTGTCTTTCCTCTTAGGTGAATTTGGCAGATTGTGTCTTTTAAGGAATTGGTCCATTTCACCTAGGTTATCAAATCTGTGTGCATACAGTTTTATTTTCCTTTTAATGTTCATGGAATTTGTAATGATATCCCCTCTTTTGTTTCTTTTTTCTGTTTTTTTGAGATAGAGTCTTGCTCTGTCACCTAGGCTGGTGTGCAGTGGTGCCATCTTGGCTCACTGCAACCTCCTCACAGGTTCAAGTAATGCTCCTGCTCAGCCTCCCGAGTAGCTGGCGCTAAAGGCATGCACCACCACGCCAAGCTAATTTTTGTATTTTCTTTTGGCAGAGATGGGGTTTTACCATGTTGGCCAGGCTGGTCCCGAACTCCTGGCTTAAAGTGATCCATCTGCCTCAGCCTCCCAAAGTGCTGGGATCATAGGCGTGAGCCACCACACCCAGTCTTTTATTTCTTTTTTGTAGAGATGGAGTCTCACTATGTTGCCCAGATTGGAGTGCAATGGCTATTCACAGATGTGATAATCATATACTACAGCCTTGAACTCCTGGGCTCAAGTGATCCTTCTGCCTCAGCTTCTAAAGTAGCTGGAACTATAGGTGTGCCACCTTGCCCAGCTCCTTCACTTTAAAAAAAAGTTTAATTTTGTAGGGATGAGGTCGTGCCATATTGCCAGGCTGAACTCCTTGCCTTGAAATCCTTGCCTCTAGTGATCCTCCCACTACAGACATGAACTACTGTGCTCAGCCTCCTTTACTTTTTTGACCTAACTTCTACAGATCTATAAAGAGTTGTTGGCAGCTGTGGATGCACTGCCTATGACTTAGCCCTGCTCTGCATGGAGCAGTTAAAAAAAAAAAAGGAGCTGTTGATTTTTTTCAGTTTGTTCATCTTTTACTTGTTATCATGGATTGGTGACTTCCAGGATTCTTTTTTTTTTTTTTTTTGAGACGGAGTTTCGCTGTTGTTACCCAGACTGGAGTGCAATGGTACGATCTCGGCTCACCGCAACTTCCACCTTCTGAGTTCAAGCAATTCTCCTGCCTCAGCCTCCTGAGTAGCTGGGACTACAGGGATGCACCACGATGCCCAGCTAATTTCTGTATTTTTAGTAGAGACGGGTTTCACCTTGTTGACCAGGATGGTCTTGATCTCTTGACCTCGTGATCCACCCGCCTCGGCCTCCCAAAGTGCTGGGATTATAGGCGTGAGCCACTACGCTCGGCTGACTTCCAGGATTCTTTTATGCTTTACTGGAAACTGGATGTCTATATTTTTTTAAAGCAGTAACAAGAAGGTCACTGAGGCCGCATGCAGTGGCTTATGCCTGTAATCTCAGCAGTTTGGGAGGCCAAGGCGGGCAGATCACCTGAGGTTGGGAGTTTGAGACCAGCCTGACCAACATGGAGTAACTCTGTCTCTACTAAAAATACAAAATTAGCTGGGTGTGGTGGTGCATACCTGTAATCCTAGCTACTCGGGAGGCTGAGGCAGGAAAATCACTTTAACCCAGGAGGCAGAGGTTGCAGTGAGCTGAGATGGCATCATTGCACTCCAGCCTGGGCAACAAGAGCAAAACTCTGTTTCGAAAAAAAATAGTCAGTGAGGCCAGAGCAGAGTAAGTAAAGGGGAGAGTGTTATGAAATGAGATTGGAGAGGTAGCCAGGGTCTAGTTCATGTGATAGTGTTATTAGGCATGGAAAGATTTTGTGTTTTATTCTAAAAATGATGAGAAGCTATTAGATAGTTTTGAGCAAAGGTGTGACGTTCTATTTTAGATTGTAAGGGCATTGCTCTGGCTTTTGTGAGAGTAAACCACAGGAGTTTAAGAGTGGAAGAAAGAAGATGAATTAGAAGGGAATGGGCAGTAATGCAGGCAGGAGATGATAGTGGCTTGTATCAGGGTGGTATTATGGAGGTGGTAAGAAGTGGTAGATTTCTGAGTATAGTTTGAAGACAGAACTGACAGGATTTATTAATGAACTGGCTGTGTGAACGAGAGGAGTCAATCATGACCGCTAGATTTTTGGCATGAGCAACACTGCGGAATAGTAAAAGGAGGAACAGGTATAGAGAAATTGAAAGAATCAGAAGTTCAGTTTTGGATACATTAATTTGGAGATGCAGTGGGTTAGATCTAAGTAGAGATGTTGATTAGGCAGCAATAGTTGGTTAAAAAGTGCAGAGAGGGTTGGGTACAGTGGCTCATGCCTGTAATCCCAGCACTTTGGGAAGCTGAGGTGGGCGGATCATGAGGTCAGGAGTTCAAGACCAGCCTGGCCAACATAGTGAAACCCCATCTCTACTAAAAATACAAAAATTAGCCAGGCATGGTAGCACATGCCTATAATCCCAGCGACTTGGGAGGCTGAGGCAGGAAATCACTTGAACCTGGGACGTGGAGGTTGTGGTGAGCTGAGATCATGCCACTGCACTCTAGCCTGGGCAATAGAGCGAGACTCCATCTAAAAAAAAAAAGAAGAAGTCATCTAAGGACTGAACCCCAGAGCATTCCAGTTTATAAAAATTAGGAAGAGATGGCTGGGCATGGTGCCTCACGCCTGTATGTAATCCCAGCACTTTGGGAGGCTGAGGTGCTTGGATCACAAGGTCAGGAGTTCGAGACTAGCCTGACCAACACGGAGAAACCTTGTCTCTACTAAAAATACAAAAATTAGCCAGGTGTTGTGGCGCATGCCTGTAATGCCAGCTACTCAGTAGGTTGAGGCAGGAGAATCACTTGAGCCCAAGAGGTGGAGGTTGTGGTGAGCCAAGATCTCACCACTGCATTCCAGCCTGGGCGACAGAGTAAGACTCTGTCTCAAAAAAAAAAAAAGTTAGGAAGAGGATCTAGTGTAAGGTGAAAAGGAGCAGACAGTGGTGTTGGAAGAAAATAATGGCCTGGATGCAGTGGTTCACACCTATAATACCAGCACTTGGGGAGGCCAAGGTGGGAGGATTGCTTGAGCCCAAGAGTTGGAGACCATCTCTGGCAACATAGGGAGATCCCTTCTCTACAACAAATACAAAAATTAGCCAGGTGTGGCCGTGTGCACCTGTCGTACCAGTTACTTCAGAGGCTGACATAGGAGCCCACGAGGTGAAAGCTGCAATAAGTAAGGTGCATGATTTCACCACTGCACCACTGCATTCCAGCCTGGATGACAGAGCAAGACTGTGTTTCAAAAAAAAAAACAGAAAAAAGAAAATAATGAAGAGTTTGGTATTCTGAAGACCAAATGAAGAAAGTGTTTCAAGCAGGACCAGGTGATAACTATGCTTTCTGAACTGTGCTTTCTGGGAGGCTGGGTAAGATGGGATCTGAGAATCAGCTGTTAGATTTCAGTAGAGACCTGGGCAAGAGTGGCTTCAGTGGAGCAATAGGGATGAATTAAGGCCTGATGAGGGTAAGTTCAAGAGAGAATTCATGACAAGGATGTGGAGGAAGGAGAATTTAAAACCTTTCTGAGGATTTTTGCTTTAAGGGATTAGAGAGAAGAGTAATAATTGGTAGGGCTGGATAGGGTTGTTCAATAAAAGGAGGGGTTTTGTTTTTGTTTCTACAATGGGAGATTTTTTAGCGTGTTTATTAGCTAATGAGAAAAAAACAAAAGGTAAAACCCATGTTGTAAGAAAAGGAGCAAAGCTTTAGAGTAGTGAAATGAGAAGGCACCCAGTGCACCATGGAGGGGTTCACCTTGGAAAGGAGCACAATATTATAATATGCATCCACTGACACACAGGAGGAAACCAGAATTCCAGGAGGGATTATCAGTTGGCAGTTAGATCTAGTGGTGGAACCTGTGGAATTTCTCTTCCGATTATTTCTTTTCATCTCTTCCACTCCAGCAAAACAAAAATAGGTAATTTCAGCGAGGGAGGGTGGCATACAGTGGCACCTTTCAGCTGCTTGGGAGGCTGAGGCAGGTGGATCCTTTGGGCCCAGGAGTTTGAGTCCAGCCTGGGCAACATAGCAAAACCTCATCTTTAAAAAAGAAGAAAAGGCTGGGTGCGGCAGCTCACACCTATAATCCCAGCACTTTGGGAGGCCGAGGTGGGTGGATCATGAGGTCAAGAGATCAAGACCGTCCTGGTCAATATGGTGAAACCCCATCTCTACTAAACGTACAAAAATTAGCTGGGCATGGTGGTGCATGCCAGTGGTCCCAGCTACTCAGGAGGCTGAGGCAGGAGAATTGCTTGAACTCAGGAGGTGGAGGTTGCAGTGAGCCCAGATCGCGCCATTGCACTCCAGTCTGGGTAATAAGAGCGAAACTCCGTCTCAAAATAAAAAAATAATAAAAAAGAAGAAGAACAAAATAGGTAATCTCTCCTAATTCTCCCATATTTTCTTAGTAACAGAACCCTGATTTCATTGGAAACAGGATGCCCAGCTTCTGTTCCAACTTCACTAGTGGTGTCCATGTGACTAAATTCTAGTGAAATGTTAGTGGAAGTTGTTTGGTGGGGTTTCTGTGAAAGTTTCTAAAACATGATTGCTAGGATTGATTGAGCTAATATTTGTCTTTGGCCCTTTCTTTTCTTTTTTGCTGAGAACATGGACAAGATGGTGGGAGTCCTATGGAGTCCTTAAGCCATATAATATGCAAAGGATGAAGGAAGATCAAGTCTAGGTGCCTGATGACAACATGGAGCTGTCACACAAGCCCTGGATTGCCTACCCTTGGACTTCTCATTATGGGAGAAAATGAAACAATTCTTTTAAGCCACATTGATCTTTCTTCCTATTTTTATTTTTCTTTTGTTGAGTGTGTGTTTGTGTCTGTTATTTACAGCTGATTGTAATTCATAACTGATGTGGTAGTGGGACTGTACAAGTTTTGTCTTCTGATGCTTTTCTTTTTCTTTTTTCTTCACTGAAACGGAGAGGGTGATCATTAGCTAAATGTAAGGATTGGGGAAGGAGTGTGGGAGGCTTGTGGAGAGAAGATGCGTGAAATAGTTATCTCTGAATGGTAGAGTAAATTAAGTAGGGAGATACAGTAGGTCATTCAGATATCTGTGGTTGTAAATATAAAATGAGATCAGTCATCTGGATTCTGTTTTTCTCTAGTCAGGTTTACCTGCTCAGGAGAAGGTATAAACTTGATAGTGATTGGACTTAACCAGGATTTATAATTTGCTAAAGCTATTGTGTCACCATTTATGAAATAGAAAAAGATACTGTACGATCACTGAGAAGACAGTTGACTGAATGGACTTATAAAAAACAGGTGACTGCTGGCCGGGCACGGTGGCTCATGCCTGTAATCCTAGCGCTTTGAGAGACCGAGATAGAGGATTTCCTGAGCTCAGGAGTTCAAGACCAGCCTGGGCAACACGGTGAAACCCCGTCTCTACTGAAATACAAAAAATTAGCTGGGGGTGGTGGCATGTGTCTTTAAGCTACTTGGGAGGCCGAGGCTGAAGAATTGCTTGAACCGAGGAAGTGGAGGTTGCAGTGAGCTGAGATTGTTCCACTGCACTCCAGCCTGGGTGACAGAACGAGACTCATCTCAAAAAACAAAAACAAAACAAAACATGTAATTAATAAAAGCAGTAGACTTGAAAGTACAACTTACACATATTTTTTGAATGGGTAAAATTCCCATGGTTCAAACATTAAAGAGGTAAAAAGATACACAGGCACACCTTAGTTTATTGCACTTCACTTTATTGAACTTTTCTTTTTCTTTCTTGAGACAGTTTTGCTCTTGTTGCCCATACTGGCATACATGGGCAGTCCCACCACAACCTCTTCCTCCTGGGTTCAAGCGATTCTCCTGCCTCAGCTCCCGAGTAGCTGGGATTACAGGCATGCACCACCATGCCCAGCTAATCTTTGTATTTTTGGTAGAGATGGGGTTTCACCACATCGGCACGGCTGGTGTCGAACTCCTGACCCCAAGTGATTCGCCTGCCTCGGCCTCCCAAAGCACTGGGATTGCAGGCTTGAGCCACCTTGCCCAGCACTTTTTTTTTTTTTTAAAGACGGAATTTTGCTCTTGTTGCCCAGGCTAGAGTGTAATAGCACATCCTGGCTCCGCCTGCCTAATTTTTTTTTTTTTTTGAGATGAAGTCTTGCTCTGTAGCCCAGGCTGGAGTGCAGTGGTGCGATATGAGCTCACTGCAACCTCCACCTCCCAGGTTCAAGTGATTCTCCTGCCTCAGCCTCCCAAAGAGGTGGGACTACAGGTGTGTGCCAGCACGCCCAGCTAATTTTTTGTATTTTTTTTAGTAGAGACAGGGCTTCACCATGTTAGCCAGGATGGTCTTGAGCACCTGACCTCATGATCCTCCCACCTTGGCCTCCCAAAGTGCTGGGATTATAGGCATGAGCCACCATGCCCAGCCCACTTTACTGAACTTCATGAAGAATTAGGGTTTTTCTCTTTCATTTTTTTATAGACATATTGAAGGTTTATGGCAACTCTACATCAAGCAAGGTTGGCACCATTTTCCCAATAGCGTTTGCTCACTTCATGTCTCTGTATCACATTTTGGTAATTCTTATAATATAACTTTTTCATTACAGGCCACATGCAGTGGCTTACGCCTATATTCCTAGCATTTAGGGAGGCCAAAGCAGGTGGATCTCCTGAGGTCAGAAGTTCAAGACAAGCCTGGCCAACATGGCAAGACCCCGTCCCTACTAAAAATACAAAATTAGCCAGGTGTGGTGGCACACACCTATGATCCCAGCTACTTGGGAGGCTGAGGCAGGAGAATCCTTTGAACTCAGAAGGTGGAGGTTGCTATGAGCCGAGATTGCACCATTGCACTCCAGCCTGGGAGACAAAGCAAGATTCTGTCTCAAAAAAAAAAAAAGGAAAAAACAGCTTTTTTATTGTTATTGTATTTGTTATGGTGATCTGTGATTAGTAATCTTTGATGTTATTATTGTGATGGTTTTGGAGTGCCACAAACATAAGATCCCATATGCCATTGATCTTAATCTATAAATGTGTGTATTGTGATTGTGCCACTGACCAGCCATTTCCCATCTCCTCTCCTTAGGCTTCCCTGTTCAATTAGACACAACATTGAAATCAGACCAATTAACCCTACAGTAGTCTCTGAGAGAGGCTAAAAGTTAAGCCTCTGGTGCTAAACACCCAAATTGTGAGTGCAAAGGAAAAGTTCTTAAAGGAAATTAAAAGTGCTACTCCAGTGAACACATGAATGATAAGAAAGTGAAATAGGCCAGGCGTGGTGACTCATGCCTGTAATCCCAGCACTTTGGAAGGTTGAGGTGGGAGGATCACCTGAGGTCAGTAGTTCAGGACCAGCCTGGCCAACATGGTGAAACTCTTGTCTTCACTAAAAATACAAAAATTATCTGGGTATGGTGGGGCATACCTGTAATCCCAGCCACTTGGGAGGCTGAGGCAAGAGAGTCGCTTGAACCAGGAATGGGGAAGGGGAAGGCCCACTGAAAAAAAAAAAAGGAAAAAAGAACCAGGAGGTGGAGGTTGCAGTGAGCTGAGATTGTGCTGCTGAACTCCAGCCTTGTTAACAGAGGAAAACTCTCTCAAAAAACAACAACAGCAACAACAACAAAACCAGTCTTATTGCTGCTGAGAGGGAGAAAGTTTTAGTAGTCTGGATAGAAGATCAAACCAGCCACAACATTCCCTTAAACTAAAGCCTAATCCAGAGAAAAGCCTCAGTTCTGTTTAATTCTATGAAGGCTGAGAGAGGTGAAGAAGCTGCAGAAGAAAAGTTTGAAGCTAGCAGAGGTTGGCTTGTGAGGTTTAAGGAAAGAAGCCATCTCCGTAACATAAAAGTGCAAAGCAAAGCAACAGGTGCTGATGTAGAAGCTGCAGCAAGTGATCCAGAAGATCTAGCTAAGATCATTGATGAAGGTGGCTATATTAAACATTTTTGGCCAGGCACAGTGCCTCACATCTAATCCCAGCACTTCGTGAGGTTGAGGTGAGAGCATTGCTTGAGGCCAGCCTGAACAACAGAGCAAGGCTTTTTTTTTACTGAGTAGCTGGGATTACAGGTGCATGCCACTGTGTTAGCCTAACTTGTGCTAGCCTAACTGACTCCATCTTAGCTGTGAGCCTGACAAGCTCCATCTTAGCTTTCCCTCCCTGCTATGGCCCCCTCAGGGGCATTACTGGTTCATGCTGTACTCAGAACCTTGAACCATTGAGGTTTGGGTCACACTGTTCTCAGAACCTCCAACTGATGTAACCACATCCTGCTTGGCAAGCCCACCTGCTATTGTGAAAAACCCCCTCGGTGGTTGATTATATAGAACGACCCCCTGCTACCCCCATTGGTGATTGTATGGAAATACCCTTGGTAACCAGCAACTATGGGAACCTCCTGCCTTCTGGTTATCAGCTTACTCCTAACTTACTTGTTCTGCTTCAGTAAAATTCCACTTTGCCACCCCCTCTTCTCTAAGCAAGGTATAAAAAGGAATCAGACCCCTTCTTCAGGGCTGAGAGAATTTTGAACATTAGCCGTCTCGGTCGCTGGCAATAAAGGACTCTCAATTGAAGCTCAGAGCATGGCACTTTCCTTACAACTCGCTTGGTTACCACACCACCATGCTCAACTAATTTTTTGTATTGGTACAAACGGGGTTTCACCATGTCGGTCAGGCTGGTCTTGAACTCCCAACCTCAGGTGATCCACCCACCTTGGCCTCCAAAGTGCTTGGATTACAGGTGTGAGCCACCATGTCCGGCCCCAGAACATTTTTTGTCTTCTCAAAAGAAACTCAGTGTCCATTAACAGTTACTCCCATTGCTGCCCTCCACCCAGCCTGGGCAACCACTAGTCTACTTTGTTTCCTTCCATTTCCCTATTCCAGACCTTTCATATAAATGGAATCATACAAAATATGCGGCTTATTATGGCTGACTTCTCTCACTTAGCTGATCTTTTCAAGGTTGATTCATGTTGTGGCATGTATCAGTACTTCATTTCTTTGTATTGCTAAACAATATTCCATTGGATGGATATACCACATTTTCCTTCCTTCCTTCCTTCCTTCCTTCCTTCCTTCCTTCCTTCCTTCCTTCCTTCCTTTTTTCTTTGAGATGGAGCCTTGCTCTGTCACCCATGCTGAAGTGCAGTGGCGTGATCTCGGCTCACTGCAACCTCCACTTCCCGGGCTCAAGCAATTCTCCTGCCTCAGCTGCCTAAGTAGCTGGAATTACAGGTGTGGGCCACCATGCCTGGCCAATTTTTGAATTTTTAGTAGAGACAGGGTTTCACCATGTTGGTCAGGCGGCTCTGGAACTTTTGGCCTCAGGTGATCTGCCCACCTAGGCCTCCCAAAGTGCTGAGATTATAGGTGTGAGCCACTGCACCCACCTACCACATTTTCTTTTTATTTATGTATTTATTTTTTGAGAGAGTTCCACTCTTGTTGCCCAGGCTGGGGTGCATTGGCACGATCTTGGCTCACTGCAATCTCTGCCTCCTGGGTTCAAGCAATTCTCCTGCCTCAGTCTCCCTAGTAGCTGGGATTACAGGTGGATGCCACAACACCCAGCTAATTTTTGTGTTTTTAGTAAAGACGGGGTTTCACCATGTTGGTCGGTCTGGTTTTGAACTCCTGACCTCAGGCAATCTGCCCGCCTCAGCCTCCCAGAGTGCTGGGATTACAAGCATAATCCCAACTGCACCCACTGTGCGACTGCACCCAACCCACATTTTCTTTTTCTTTCTTTCTTTGAGACAGAGTTTTCTTTTGCCCAGGCTGGAGTGCAATGGCTACCTCTGCTTACCAAAACCTCCGCCTCCTGGGTTCAAGTGATTTCTTCTGCCTCAGCCTCCCGAGTAGCTGGGATTACAGGCATGCATCACTTCGCCCGGCTAATTTTGTATTTTTAGTAAAACAGAGTTTCTCTGTGTTGGTCAGGCTGATCTCGAATTCCCGACCTCAGGTGACCTCAGGTGGCACATGCCACCACACCCAGCTAATTGTTTTTGTATTTTTAGTAGAGACGGGGTTTCATCATGTTGGCCAGGATGGTCTCAATCTCTTGACCTCATGATCCACCCGCCTCCGCCTCCCAAAGTGCTGGGATTACAGGCTTGAGCCACCGCACCCAGCCGACACTTGTCTTTTTTATGATGGTCCTCCTATTGGATATGAGGTGGTATCTCATTGAGTTTTTTGTTTGTTTGTTTTTGAGACAGTTTTGCTCTGTTGCCCAGGCTGGAGTGCAGTTGTATAATCTCAGCTCACTGCAACCTCAGCTCCCCAAGTAGCTGGGATTACAGGCACCTGCTACCATGGCAGGCTAATTTTTGTATCTTTAGTAGTGATGGGGTTTCACCATGTTGACCAGGCTGGTCTTGAACTCCCGACCTCAGGTGATCCACCCGCCTTGGCCTCCCAAAGTGCTGGGATTCCAGGTGTGAGCCACCATGCCCTGTCCTCACCGTGTTTTGATTAGCATTTCTCTGATGACCAATGGTTTTGGGCATCTTTTCATATGTTTATTGGTCATTTGCATTTCTTCTTTGGATAAATGTATATTCATATGATTTGCCTATTAAAAATTTTTAGTGTTGAGTTGTGTGAGTTCTTTATATATTCTGGACATAAGTCTCTTATCTGATATATGGTTTGCAAATATTTATTTCTTCCATCATGTGGGTTGTCTTACACTTTTATCCCCCCCCCTTTTGATAAAGAGCTGATTTTTTTTTTGAGTTGGGGTGTTGCTATGTTTCCCAGGTTGATCTTGAAATCCTGGGTGTAAGTGATCCTCCTGCCTCAGCCTCACAGAGTAGCTGAGATTGCAGGAGCATGCCACCATGCCTGGTTCGACACCTAAAAAAAAAAAAATTAAGACCAGGTACAGTGGCTCACACCTGTAATCCCAGCACTTTGGGAGGCTGAGGTGGTTGGGTCACCTGAAGTCGGGAGTTTGAGACCAGCCTGACCAATATGAAGAAACCCTGTCTCTACTAAAAATAAAAAATTAGCTGGGTGTGGTAGCACGAACCTGTAATCCCAGCTACTCAGGAGGCTGAGACAGGAGAATCGCTTAAACCCAAGATCATGCCACTGCACTCCAGCCTGGGCAACAAGAGCAAAGCTCCATCTAAAAACAAAGTCCATCTTACCATTTTGTTTTTCTTTTGTTGTTTGTGCTTTTGGTGTCATATCTAAGAAAGCATTGCCTAATCAAAAGTAATTAAGATTTATCTCTGTTTTCTTCTGAGTTTTATGGCTTTAGCTCTTATATTTAGGTCTTTGATCCATTTTGAGTTAATTTTTGTGTATGGTCTGAGATAGGAGTCTGTATTAGTTTCACAGAGCTGCTTTTAAGCCACAACCTGAGTGGCTTAAAAGAACAGAAATGTATGACCTTATAGTTCTATAGGCTGGAAGTTTGAAATCAACGTGTTGGCAAATTTGGCTCCTTTTGGAGGCTCTGAGGGAGAATCCATTCCATGTCTCTCTCCTAGCTTCTGCTGGTTGCTGACAATCCTTGGAATTCCTTACCTTGCAGACATCACTACAATTTCTCTATCTGTTGCTACCGGGTATTTTCCCCATGTATCTGTGTCTTCACATGGCCTTCTTATAAGGACAGTCATTAGATTTAGCGCCCACTCTAATCCAGTAATTCCTCATCTTAACTAACTACATTTGCAAAGATCCTATTTCTAAGGAGGGCCACATTCTGAGGTTGTAGGTGGACACTGAATGTCGGGTAGGGGGACACTTCACACAGCAGTCTAACTACATTCCTTTGCATGTGAATATCCAGTTGTCCCAGCATCATTTGTAGAAAAGACTTCTTTGGAGCACCTTGTTACAGCCTAGCATGGGTGAAAGTCTAGGCTCACCACTGTCTTGCCGGTATAGGTAGAGGTGGGGCCGTGTTTTTTTCTGTGGCATTTGGCTGGAGTAGAGGAGTTACTATTTAAAAGTTTGCTGTCTTGCTAGATCATCCCTTTCTTGGTTCTTTGGCTAGGAAGAGCAGACTCTTTTTCTTTTTTTTGGTCTCACCCTTTGGCATTTTTGGATTGTCAGCTTCTTCAGTTCCAAGGCTTTGAGATGTAAGGTAAAAAGAAAACCCAGGGAATTCATCACCATGTTGTTCTTGTTCCCAAGATCCCTAGCTCATCTGCTGTCTTCTCTCCATCTTTCAGTCTTCTTCTTCTTCTTTTTTCTTTTGAGACTTAGTCTCACTCTGTTGCCCAAGCTGGAGTTCAGTGGTTCAATCTTGGCTCATTGCAACCTCCACCTCCTGTATTCAAGCAATTCTTCTGCCTTATCATCCTGAGTAGCTGTGATTACAGGCCTGTGCCACCACGTCCAGCTAATTTTTGTATTTTAGTAGAGATGGGGCTTCACCATATTGGCCAGGCTGGTCGTGAACTCCTGACCTCAAGATATCCACCTGTCTCAGTCTTTCAAAGTGCTGGGATTACAGGCATAAGCCATCATGCCTGGCCTTTCTTTCAGTCTTCTTATGTTTGTTTTATATATAATGTCCAGGGTTTTTAGTTGTATTTAGTGGGAGGAATTTGGGAAGTATGTCTGCTCCACCTTCCTAGTGCACTGAATTTATAAGGCAATTTAAGTAGAATTAACATCTTTGTAATCTGGTACTTCCAAATAATGAATGTGATATATCTCAGTATATTAATCATAATATCTTCATAATATCTCTCAATAAAGATACTTTCTTGTAGGTGTCTTGTTCTTTTGTTGTTGTTGTGTGAAAGAAAATAGAATCTTGGGACCCCAAACTCACTATGCCAAAAGGAAGTTAAGCTTGGGAGCTGAATTACTGCATTCCTTTTGTTCCCAGATAGCTGTGATTTCACAATCCTGTGTCATATAGCCTCATTTTCTCTACTCCTTTTCACATGTAAAATGTCAATTTACCGAGGCTAATCAGAGCCTCACAAGAATGTAACCATTTGCCTCACTGCCTACCCTATCTCCCTTTTTCCCCCTTCTGCTTGCTCTTTCCCCTTTAAATAATGAAGTTCCCTGGTGGGTGTGGTGGCTCACACCTGTAATCCCAGCACTTTGGGAGGCCAAGGTGGGTGGACCTCCTGAGGTCAGGAGTTCGAGACCAGCCTGGCCAACATGATGAAACCCTATCTCTACTAAAAATTCTAAAATTAGCTGGAAGTGGTGGCATGCCCCTAGTCCCAGCTACTTGGAGGCTGAGGCAGGAGAATCGCTTGAACCTGGGGGGCAGAGGTTGTAGTGAGCCAAGATCACACCACTGCACTCCAGCCTAGCAGTGAGACTTAGTCTCAAAAAAAAAAAAAAAAAAAGAAAGAAAAAGCACAGGTCACAGATGCTCCTACGACTAATATTTTTTCCTGGTTATGTTTTCAACTTGGCTAAATAAACCTGTATTGATTGAGGGTTTTGGTTTACATTTGATTTAATCATAGGTGTTTGAATACATTTTTGGATGTTGTAAATGATGTCTTTGAAAACTTTATTTTCTGTTTTGTATGTACAGACATATAGTTTCTTTTTACATATTGATTTAGTACCTAGCAACAACCTTGCTAAGCTCTTAAATTATAATAGTTTATATGTAAATTTTGCAGACAATTTTTGCATGCATGTCATGATGTTACCAGTGGAGGGTGTCCAGGTCCTTGGCATTTTGAACAAAGAATTGGATAAAATGCACAAAGGAAAGAATCAAGCAACAAAGGCAGATATTTATTGAAAATGAAATTAAATTTCCACAAAGTGGGAGCAGGCCAAACAGGGGCTCAAGAGCTCAGTTACAGAATTTTCTGGGGTTTAAGGCATCGTGGCTCATGCCTGTAATCCCAGCACTTTGGGAGGCCACGGCAGGCAGATCACCTGAGATCAGGAGTTGAAGACCAGCCAGGCCAACACAGAGAAACCCGATCTCTACTAAAAAAACAAAAATTAGCCAGGTGTGGTGGTGGGCCCTTATAATCTCAGCTACTCAGGTGGCTGAGGCAGGAGAATCGCTTGAACCCAGGAGGCAGAGATTGCAGTTAACCAAGATTGTACCACTGCACTCCAGCCTGGGAGTCAGAGCAAGACTGTCTCAAAAAAAAAAAAAAAAAAAAAAGAAAATTTCTGGGGTTTAAATACCCTCTAGAGGTTTCCACTGGTTACTTAGTGTATGCCCTAGGTAAATGAAGAGGATAGTTTCTGTTGTAGCTGAAGTGTTTCCATTTAATTTAGTTCTAGGAAGCCCTTAGTTCCCTGCCTCCAGGCCCTCTTCTCCTGCCACAGTTAGTGGTGCAAGGTTAGAGATAGCAGATTGTTGCATGTTGGCGTTTTTCCACAGTGTCAGGCTTTTACTGATGCTATTGAAATCACATAAGCCAGGAGCTACATGGAGTTCCCAAGGAGGCAATCTCCTTAGTACTGTTATAGGAGGTAGCTTGTCAGACATAAGCAGGGCAGGAGAGGGCTCCCCACACCCACCAGGAATGTCAGGTGACCATCAGGTGTTGGTCAGGCAGTTGTCACAATACCTATCTAAAATAATCAGTCACAGCCAGTGCCAGGGAAAGGCAGTTTCCCAGATAAAAACACCTGAAATTGGTAATCAGCAGCTTCCATTAGATCTAAGGAACTTGGTGAATAGGCTCAAGCATGCACATTAAGTGGAGGAGTATGACCTTCCAGGGCATTCCTGAAAAGTTTTCTTCCAGAAAAAGGAAGAAAACTTCAGGTGAGCATGTGTACAACTCCAGTAAACACAATGTGCATGCCCACCTCCCAGGCACTAGTAGGCCACCGGGCATGCAGGCAGCTCACCCTAAGGGAAGGATGAGAGTAAAGGGGCACAAAACACTAGAAGCAGGCCAGCTTATAAAATCCTAGGTCTGGGACAAGCACAGTGTCTCATGCCTGTAATTCCAGCACTTTGAGAGGCCAAGGAGGGTGGATCATTTGAGGTAAGGAGTTCAAGACCAGCCTGGCCAATATGGTGGAACCCTGTCTCTACTAAAAATACAAAAATTAGCTGGGTGCTACTGGCATGCACCTGTGATCCCAGCTACTCTTGAGGTTGAGGCAGGAGAATCACTTTAGCCTGGGAGGCAGAGGTTGCAGTGAGTTGAGATTGCTCCATTGCACTCCTGTCTGGGCAACAGAGTGAGACTCTGTCTCAAAAAAATATAAATAAATAAATAAAATCCTAGGTCCAAGGTCAAATGGGACACGTCCTTCAAGTTGCCTGCTTGGGCTCCTCTTCCAACTGCTCTTTTCTTCCTTTCATTCCTGCTGTAAAGCTCTTTAATAAACTTTTACTCCTGCGCTAAAACTTGCCTCAGTTTCTCCTTCTGCCCATGCCCTTCAGTGGAATTCTTTATTCTGAGGATGCAAGAATTGAGGTTGCTTCAGGCCTGTATGGATTTGCTGCCAATAATCTGGATACCTTCCACGACTAACAGTACTTTTTGTTCACTCAGTAGTCAGAGCTGTGGGCACACAGGCTCAAGCCACTCCGCAAGTCAATCAGTATTGCAAACCATACATAATAGTATATAATTAATAGATATACAAAGTAACATTTAACATCAAGAGGAGAAAGAGATAGGAGAAAGGGTTAAAGAACCAGTCCAGGGGAACAAAGAAGAAAAAGAGTTCTGCTTTGGGCCAGTTGTCTGTCAGTCTTGCAAGGAAGGGAGTTTGATATTGCCAAGCCTTCAGAGGCAGATGCCAAGTTCTTATCACAAGTGACAGACTGCTAGATGGTGTCAGTTAAAATGGTCATTTTGAGCTGCTGAAGGCCTGATCTTTTATAGTCACAGAGTCCTCTAGTGAGAACTGATAGTGGAAGAGTGTGCTTGTTTGTATCCTTATCTGGTTGGACACATCTTTTGTAAAAATTTGTTTATTTTTTATTTTTTTGAGATGGAGTTTCACTCTTGTCACCCAGGCTGGAGGGCAATGGCATGATCTCTGCTCACTGCAACCTCTACCTCTTGGGTTCAAGTGATTCTCCTGCCTCATCCTCCCCAGTAGCTGGGATTACAGGCACCCGCCATAGCTAATTTATTTTGTATTTTAGGTAGAGACAGGGTTTTGCCATGTTGGCCAGGCTGTTGTCGAACTCCTGGCCTCAAGTGATCTGCCTGCCTCGGCCTCCCAAAGTGCTGGGATTATAAATGTGAGCCACCACGCCCAGCCCTTTGTTTATTAAGCAAAGCATCTTATTCTTGTTGGCAAAGTGTTCTATTAAATAGAAAATAGAGGCTCATTCCTATAATCCCAGCACTTTGGGAGGCCAAGGCAGGCAGATCACGAGGTCAACAGATAGGGTCTTGCTCTAGGCTTGAGTGCAGTAATTCGATTATGGTTCACTGCAGCCTTGACCTTCTGGGTGTAAGCAATCCTCCCACCTCAGTCTCCTGAGTAGATGCAAGATGCAAGATTCAAGCCACCATGCCCAGCTAATTTAAAATTTTTTTGTAGATATGGGATCTTGCTATGTCGTCCAGGCTGGTCTCAAACTCCTGGGCTCAAGCAATCCTACCACCTTGGCCTCCCAAAGTGCTGGAATTGTAGGTGGGAGCCACCATGCCTGCCACAATATGCTTAAAATTACATTATTTTACACTACATCTCTATGTATTTATATAGATATTTAGATATCTCAAGAGGTCCTCCCACCTCAGCCTCCTGAGTAGCTGGGACTACAGGAAAAGCTACTCTTTTCTTATTTTTTTGTAGAGATGTGGTCTTACTGTGTTGCCCAGTAGATCTTCAACTCCTGGCCTCAAGTGATCCCCCTGCCTCAGCTTTTACCCTGTTTAAACTTAATTTGAAGAATTTTAGATATCAACTTAAAAACAACTAGAGTTACATAGTTAAAATTTTTTTTTTTAGGTGGTAAGCAAAAATGTGAAGACCACTGATACAGAGAAATGGTCACACAATCCAATTACATAAGAAAATACGTACACTCATCTAGTCTGATGGCTTTAAATATCATCTATATACTGGTATCTCCCAAATCTGTATCTTCTACCCAGGCCTATTTTCTGAAACACATATCCAGCTGCCTACTCCACATCTCTGATTGGATGCCTAATAGACATCCTAAATTTATCATGTCCAAAACAGAACTCTTGAACTCCACTCCACTCTACCCACTCACATACACACAACTGCACCTTTCTTCTCCCTGGATTCTCCATCTGAGTAAATGTTACCTTTATTCACACAGTTGCTTAGCCCAAAGACCTCTGGGTTATCCCTGACTTTCTCTTTCTCTGTCTCTCTCTCTCTCTCTCTCTCTCTCTCTCTCTCTCTCTCCTGCTCTAATATTTATCATGTAACACATCAGCAAATCCTGTCAGCTCTACTTAACAAAACATAACCTGAATGTTTGCCATCTTTCTCCCAGACACTAAAATAATCTACTTCTTACTCCTCTCCCTGTTTCTATTATTGCTGTCTCTTTTAAAAAGTGATCCTTTTAAAATATGTTTGATCAGGCCAGGTGCGGTAGTTCACACCTGTAATTCTAGCACTTTGGGAGGCCAAGGCAGGTGAATTACCTGAGGTCGAGAATTCAAGACCAGCCTGACCAACATGGAGAAACCCCATCTCTACTAAAAATACAAAAATTAGCCGGGCATGGTGGCACATGCCTGTAATCCCAGCTACTTGGGAGGCTGAGGCAGGAGAGTCGCTTGAACCCGGGAGGCGGAGGTTGCAATGAGC